ATATATGTGGATATTTCCATACAAACCACATAATTCTAATATGTTTACATATCTAATAACTAAATTAGCTATAAACTATTTTTTTTACTTTTACCCCAAATTCTTAACATTATGTCGAAAATATCATTATTATGCTTTTAAAAAATAAAATGCATCCTTTCAAACATGAATATGCTATAAATATAAATATATAAAAAAATTAGGTGTTAGTTATGTATAACACATAAGAATTGTGGGGTGTGAATTTTAATTTTCTTAATTTGTTTTTTAAACATAGTGTTTCTCGTTGGACATCACAACTTTAATGTGTCAAAAGATACCTCTTTTTTAGCTCCAAACATGTTTCCAATAGTTTTATTATTATAAAAAATATAATTGATACTTCATCAACAAATTTTTATCATCTGACATAAATTTCAAGACACAACATAAAACTCGGGAATAGTCGAATCTTTAGCAAGAAACGTTCAAATTTTGATTAAAAATCACCCAAAATTTTGATTTCAACAAACTTACAATCAAAAAACCCGGCTCGAGACAGACCCAATGAAACTAAACTTGGTTTAATTAAAGTTAAATTAAGCTCAGATCAAACCGTTGAACTACTTTTGTAAGCTTTTAGTGCAAAATTTGAAGTTCAAACGGTTTACAAATTTGAAACGTTTATAGTCAAATCGAGCGTCTCGACAAAACGAATTCAATGAGCCCAAGACCACCCAACTTTGACTTCATTAAGACACTTAAATTTCCACATAACACAATCTGATCGAAGAAACTTCTCTAGGCTATCCGATTAGAGTGGTCTAGATTTCTTTCTTATTTGAAACCTTGACTCTATAAATAACTCACTACCCCCTATGGAGAGGGGATATAGACTCAAAGCTAGAAAAAGATTGAAGCTTAAAGGAGCTGAAGCTTAGAAACGTTCTTGAACTAGAGATCTTGCAATTTCCTTCCGATCTTGTAGTCTTCGACCGCCACCTGTCGGCCACTGTCGACCTCCCATCAACCGCCAATAGCTCCCTGCAATGAAGTCTCTTGAAGAGTCATAACATTCATTGTGGAATCCCAATGTATGTTACAGAATAGTGAATCACCTGATGAAGCAATACGCCGTTCAAAAAATCATATAACAACAGTCTCTCAAAAAATACGATGCAATGACACACTCTGATGACGGTATAATAATGTACCCCACATAGGGTGCAACGACGTCTCTCAAAAACTATGTAACAATGCACCCCGAATATGGTGCAATGCACACCCCAAAGACAATTACATTCGCCAAACTTCTATAGCTCTTTTCGTAAAGCTCTTGATTCTAGCATGTGTGGCCAATATACATCATCACAACTTAACTCTACAGCCTACGTGACCAGCTATGACCGACGTGACTAACAGCTCGTGTAGCTCCCGTCTCTGGCCCCTTTGGCTTGTCGACATTATCACAGTTCACCACTACGACCTATGTGACCAATTACTACCTAAGTGGCTCATAGCTCGTGCAACTCCCAATTTTTGCCTCTATGGCCATCAAACGTTATTTTGACTTACCACTACAGCCTATGTGACCAACTAAGAACTACTTGACTCACAACTTGCCCAACTCCTAACCTTGAGTCATGTGGCCTATGGATGTCATCATAGCTCAACACTATGACATATGAGACCAACTTCGCCCTACGTGGATTACAACTCATGCAACTCATGACCCTAATTTCTGTGGCCTAAATACGTCATCACAGCTCACCACACTTGTCTATGTGGCCAACTACAACATAGGTGGCTCACAGCTTATACAACTCCCAACTTCATCATCTACAACCTACGAATATCATCACAGCTCACCAATACGATATACATGATCAAATATAGCCTATGTAACTTACAACTCGTTCACTTCCTGACTCCGATCTTTGAAGCTTACGAATGTCATCGCAGCTCACCACTACGACTTATGTGACTCACAACTCGCTCTAATCTCAAATCTGGGTGGTTTACGTACATCATCACAATTACCACTATGACCTGTGTGACCAATTATGACTTACATAGTTTACAATTTGTGCAGCTTCTCAACTCCCACCTCTATGTCCTATGGGCGTCATCATAGCTCACAATTATAGCCTACATGACCAAAATATGGCCTACACTGCCCACAACCCATATAACTCTCAATTCAGGCCTCTGTGGCCTGCTGACACTATCACAGCTCACTCCCATAATCTACATGACCAACTATGACCTAAGTGGCTCCCAACTTATGCAGTTTCCTACTATGACCTCTATGACCTACAATTGCTCCTGAAATGACCATCTTTGGCTCACACAACTAACTACTGTCATATCTTTCAACTACGATCTATATTACAAGCTGAGACTATTGTCACTATCTATAAAATTCACGACGGACTGCTGCCTTCATAACAATTGATTATGACCCTTGCAGCCTGCTATCACTGAGAAATACATTCAT